AACAGAAAAGAAAAAAAAAAAACAATTCTAATAAAAATAGCCACACAGGTTACAGTGCATAGCTATTTTAAAGATGATCCTATGGAACAGTCTATACAACTCAAGGAAATCTATGAGTACTTACCAGATACATTTGGCTCCAGATTTCAGTGGCGGCAGGTTAATGAAGAAGGGAAAAGGGAAATAGGTGGATTTGTAGGTATTACAATGTCTGAATCTGTGTTGGTCACACAATACTAAGAAATGCTCACAGAATAATAAAAAAAAAATAACAACAACAACAAAAACAAAACAAAACAAAAAAAAAACAAGGATAGTCAGGGCCACCAGTTAGTAATATAAATACAAAATTCCTATTACTTGGGTCAAAAGTTGCTAGTAAAGAAAATGATTTTGGGCCTAGACACACTACTTGACCCCTACTTGCCATAGCTAAAATCTCATCAATTTTACCCTTCCTCTGCTTGTTCAATAAGGTCGTTTCTATCCTATTTGTTTATTCCCTTACTTAATTTTAAATTGCCCCCTAAAATGCTATCAACATTATGTGCACCTTGCAACTAGTTTATTCTAAAATGTACCTCCCAAAGTGTGGTTGATCAGGATGTTTCTATAGTCTGCTGGTAACAACATATAATCAGTTTGGAATCATACTGGTTCTAAGTTATTTGGAAAGTTAAGGCTAAAACCTATAACTCATTGACATTCTTTGAATTTATCAACTTGATTACAAAATTAAAATGCTATTTAGTTTAATAGAATCATTTTGCTTCTGACATGCATACAATGTCAGTTTGGAAAAAAATCTAATGATTTCTCTGGTCAGATCCCAAAAAGCTTTAAATGTTTTTAGGTCTAGCATGTTTAAGATATTAGACTTTTAAGAAAAGCTATAAACCCAACTGAATCTGCCATCCATATCTGCTTTGGATAGAAATAAAATAATAGCTTTCACAAACTTTTAGAAATAAGTTATATTAAGTTGAGGTTATCATTTAAATTCAAATTCCTATTTCTGAGTATGATGCATGATCAAAAGGCATTACTGTTGTTAGTGGAAAATATAAGCAAATGTTAACACTTTAATATAGCATTAAAAAAAAAAAAAAGGCAGTGGAAACCTGATTAAAAAGAAGCCAGGAAGCAGCTGAAAAAGAGACCGGTTCACTGTGAGAAATGTAAACCTCTCAGACAGTGCTACGGCCCCGAATCCAACAGCTCAGGAACAAGGCCAATTATTGCAAAATATTAAACATATGTGGTGAAGCTGCAAACTTTCAAAAGAGTCATAAGAATGAAAGCAGCTATATAGGAAACAGTGAGGGCCTGAACCTAAAACCTTTGTTGCTATTACTGCTACCTGCAGGGAAGATTTATTAAGTTCCTTATGTGGAATATACTTTATAGAACTCAAGATACAACTTTTTGATAAAAGGGTTAGGATAAATTTATTTTTTTCCAAAATGGAAGTGAACAGATCTTTTGAAATAGTTGCTTATATGATTCTAATTGTTGAAAATCACTAAATTATTGCAAACCAATTCTCCAAAATTCCACCTTTCTGAAATGACTCACATGAGATAGACACAGAGAATTATGGAATTTTAGAGTACAGAGAGGTTTCAACAGACAACACAGTGAAACTCCCTTTCTTTGAAAACTGAAATATGTTATCTGATACCAGTTAAAATGAGCAAGTTCTGTTGGGATTCTGATTCCTATTTGTCTTCTTACACATTATAGAATACATTGTTTGAAAAACCTGGGATGGCCAGCATTTCTTCTGCTTCTGTTGACATGGATTGATTCAACTATATTTTGACTGACCATGACAATTTCATATTCATAGTAAGATTTGTATATTCAGTTTCCAGCAATAACATTAATGCTGATCTCAATTCAGTTCCCAAAAGAGATGGGAGGTCTACTGTCAAAATGAACAATGATTATGGACCTCTGGTATACATATGTTTGGAAGATCAACACATTTTTATCCTTGAAATACTTTCCCCAGCATAACAGAAAATACTATATTTCTATAGTATCTTACCTTTCCTGCTCTAAGACAAACACTGGATTCATTTGGGTTTGTTATGTAAGGGCAAAGTTACTTTAAATTGACACGAAAACATCCAAACAGTTATTTGTGCCTCAGTGAAATTACCCAAAACCTACCAAAGCTTTCTTTATTTGGATTAATAATTGTTACCACCTTTTTAGGTAACAAAAGAAAAAAATATACTTCTTGACTATAATAAGGTAACTAAATGTTTAACAAGAAACAAAAATGTACGGAATGTGGCTAATTATTTCTAATTTTAATCAGACTAGGATGGTAGGCTATAGGGGCATATAAGGATCGAAATCGAGAAAATACAATGTTTATGTAAAAAATGTAAGTCATTGAGACAAAATTGCTATACATCTGTGAAAAAAAAATCAGAAACAAAAAACTGTCCATCCTATTTTCCAGTGCATTCTGTTTTTCTATTAGGAAATATACAAACATAAACGCACATTCTTGGGTAGCAGTAACATTAAAAAAGTAACCTGAATTTAAATATAATTAACTATAAAAGTTTTTTGACTGTAACTTTTTTATTACTCCAATTTTTACTAACTCAATAGAAAGGTTCAATATAATTACCAACACAATAGTACTGTAATACCAATCTTCTTAAAGGGAGCCTCTCTACTACACTTAGTAGCACCACAATATCTTTCCCTTTAAGATAAGAATGTTTTGAGGCGCTGTCTTTTATTTTTCAAACTGAACAAGACTGAACTAAAACTCTAAGTTAAAAATATTATGTGTAATAACTGAAATGTTAAAGACAATGTTTAAACTATTGAAAAACATGTTCTTGTTCTTGTACTGATCCCATCCAGATGCAATCTGACTTACTGAGCATTTCCTTCCTTCTCACCACAACCAGCATTACGAAGATAAGCCATAATTAAAATATCAATAATAAACATAAGCTATCTCTTGAGCAGGTATTTTGGCACTCAACTAGAAGAGTAGCATTTGTACAAATATATTGTGCAATTTGTGATTGAAAGTTTTAATGTTTTGTGTAATGTGATCATGGAAGGGAACAAAAATTTAGCCATGAAAAAGAACTAATAAGTTTACACAAATACAAAGACTTTTGCTTGGCTCACTAACAGGGTATACTAATAAACCAAGTTAATTAGTTATATGCAAGGTATTTGAATGGGAGAGTGAAGATAAATCTGTTTTTATATTATCACGACATTTGCTATAATAGTCATTATAATTTTCGAATAAAAAAATAACAAGAAAAACAAAAACAAAAGAGTAAAAAAAGTCGGTCACAGAGACCCAGGAAAACTCAGGATAATTTTTTTTTTTTTAAATATTTACTTATTTATTCATACAGAACTGGGGTGCAGGCCAGAGATGCGGAGGGTGAGAGGATTCACCAGAGACAGAGCGGGAAGCAGAACAGGCAGATCGATGAAGTACACTGCTGAGGGGAGCAGCGGGCAGGTCAGGAGAGGTCTGCCACACCATGTGGTCACCTCCAGGGCAGGCGGGAATCGAACTCATGCGGAAGTGGCTTTAGTTTCTCAGTGCAGTGCTTTAACCCGCTGCGCTACCAGGGAGGGCCTCAGGATAATTTTTAATGGAATAAAACATGATATTTAAAGCTAGTGAGCAGTGTTATTATTGATATTACCAAGTATTAAAAAAATTTTTGATGGTTTTTGAAATTAGAATATATACTAGTTTATATTATTTGAAGTATTATCAAACTTCAGGAAAACCTAACTAAAGAGTCATATTTAAGACAGAGGACACATTTTAAGTTGGTTAAATTAACCAATGTCAATACTCAACAGTTTTGAAGAACATCTGTCATATACACAATAGAGCCAGCAACACACAGAATGGAAAGAACCTACTAAGTACAAACAACACCTAGCAGCAACAGATTAAGGATCTGGAACTTCCCCTGCTGGGATGATAAGTGACAATTCAGTCTGGTAAAGGAAGTCAAAATGATCAACAAAGACGGTACAAATGAGAAAAACCAAGATCACTTCTCATCAGGCTACCAAGTAAATACATTTTTCTCCTGAAATTGTGACAACCATCAAGAATTCTGCACAATATCAAGAGCAAGAAATGGCCTATGTGAAGGTGGAGGGTTATGTGGCCTCATGAGTAATGTTGACAAAGTCTGAGAGCCCCTCAGACTAAAAGCCAAAATGGCTCCAAATAAACCAATATTTAACTATTGCTTAAACACGTAGAGTCATTAAAGTCTGAAAAAGTACCTTATTAAACATATGGGACAGAAATACGCATTTATGTGGGAAGCATAGAGAGAAATGAATTCAGTAAAATTAGTAAGATAGTTTTTTTATACAAATTACAGTAACTTTCATTGAATTCTCAAAGAGAATTTGAAAACAGGCAAACACTTGAGTTTTGATGTATTTGATATGCCCAGTATTAAAGTGTATTTGGTTAATGAAGCAACCAGTAAATCAAAAAACAAAATGGAAAAGATATGTAAGATCATCCCTGGAATATATTCTTATTGAGACTAAGATATGAAGATACGTGGCTAGAGTCGTCTAAAGTCATTTGGTCTGTCTTGGTTAGCTGTTTAGGTCATCTTCACTTGCCTTGGTTCTTTATTGCTATTACTATTCAAGGGTTTATCAGGCTCTAAAGAAAGCTGCAACTGTAATGGCAGAAAACACCAGGAAGCTGTTCACCACACTAAGACACTGGCCTAACAGAATCTTCTCATATAACTCCTATCCTTCAGTATAGAAACCTAAAACTGGTATTTTCTGGAGGATGCTAAGATTTGCTGACTCTTTTATATTCACTGGTTTGCATGTTTATGTTTGCACATTCAAGATACTGAGATAGGCAGTATCTCCACCAGAAGAAAGAGAATAAGATTAAAAACAGCTGTTGCTCACAGGTAAGAATTCACAATCTCAGAAATACTACTCACCTGTCTGTTGTGTAGGCTGTGGCAGTGGTTGGTTTAGATGTGAATTGTAATGGACAGAATGGACTGGGCGATACTGAGGTTGACTGGAGTGATAGTGGCCTGGAGCACAAAAACAGGCTGGCATCTAAGGTAAGTATTGAGGAAAAAAAATCAATTTTACTTACAACAGAAATTTTCTTCTGTAAGGAATATCCAAATGTAATTAATAATAAAAATTTTCAACACAGGTCATTTGAAAGCTATTTTCTTATTTTTAAATTTAGCTGAAAGAGTTTACAAGCATGTGGCACACATAACAAAAGTTATATACCAATGTGCTCATCAGTAGTATTCAGTAATTCTAATTTTTTAGCTGTATTTGTTTCAGATTTTTGTTTTACAAAACCAAACACTGTTGGAAAGCTGAAGGTTCAAACCAAAACTCCTTTGTTCTACAATCCACAGAAAAGCCGTTATCCTATAATTATTATGTATCACTCCTATTAATATTTTTAAATATCATACACACACACAGTTATATGTATGTTACCCACATGTAGTATTGAGTAATAAAAAAATTTACATTTATGGTACTATACATATAACTTTATGCAACTTATTTTGCAATAAACATTGTTTTTGAGACTGTATTGACACATGTACTACTAGCTCATTTAATTTAACCACTGAATAACAGTTAAAAAATTGCTGAATAGCAGTTACTGTGAAAATAAACCAGTTAGGCATTTTTACACAAACCACAAAGTTGAACTGATTCCATTCTTTGTCTCATGTTTTTAGTGTCAGCACAAGTTTGGTCAATATTCATAATAAAGGTGGAAAAATGTGAATGAGATTAGCTTGATTTATTTTTCTTTCCAGAGCTATTTATATAATTGTGAATTTCTTTTTTTTTTTTTTTTAAAGATTTATTTATTTATGCATACAGAACTGGGGTACAGGCCAGAGGCTCGGGGCGGTGAGAGGCTTCACCAGAGACAGAGTGGGGAGCAGAACAGGCAGATCGACGAAGTACACTGCTGAGGGGAGCAGCGGGCGGGTCAGGAGAGGTCTGCCAGCCATGTGGTCACCTCCCGGGCAGGCGGGGATCGAACTCATGCGAAAGTGGCTTTAGCTTCTCAGTGCAGTGCTTTAACCCGCTGCGCCACCAGGGAGGGACCAATTGTGAATTTCTTTTAAAGTGACCTGATTTACTGGACATCATCAATATGAAGGCAAAGAGACCCTAGGACCTAATAAAAACATCTGATAGGGCGAAATAACAGTGAGTTTTTGGTGGGACTGGTGCGTTAAACAAATTTGGTGACACCACTGATTCACCCAGATACAGAGGAAATTTGGAAAGATAGGAGAAGGGAAAAGAGAAAATTACTGGAAATCTTCTCTCCTCCTCCACCCACAAAGTCGGCCCACTTTGTCTAGAAGAAAGGGAGGAAAAGCTTGGAGACAATGACGCTGGAGAATCCTGAGATATCTGAGGAGTCCGGACAGTGACAGGTGGGCAAATGGGGCCTCTGCACAGGCACACAGCACTAGGTGCAAGAACCTTTGCTGTGGCACATTCCTCCTCTCTTCATTCCGAGAGATTGGCGGAACCATTTAACGGGTCAGGTTTACCAGTGGGAAGGACATGGGGGGTGGTATGCTCATAGGACTGGTATGTACACTGGGGGTGAAGGGGATGTCACAGGACTAGTACACTGGGGCCCTCTTGGTACCCCCAAGCCCTCAGGAGCCCATCACCTGCCCAACTACCTCCAGACCCAGAAAGAATGCCGAACCTCCTACAATCACAGCTACAGTTAATTTCGTGCTCTTCTGTGCTTGTTTTAAAATCCTCCCTAAGAAGACTATCCTACTCAGTCCTACAGTACTCCCCAGTTGATGAGACTAAAATAGTAATGAGTGGCTCCTGGGGAAACAATCAGAGTTTTGAGAAACAATTTTCCCCCATCTGTGTGTAAGTTTATTTATTGGTCAGTTGGTTGTCTGTTATTCCTTTTCATCTTTCGTATTTGTATTCTGATTATTCTATTTCTTTTTTCTCCTTTAACATTATGATTACTACTTTCTCTTAGTCATATTCACTTCCTTTTCCTCTTGCCATCTAGCCTTTTCTTTCTTCTCTCATCTTCATTCTTTTAACATTTCCATATCATCCTCTCCTCTTTCGTCTTATCCCTTCCTTTACTCCTCACTCTTTCTATTCTGGTATTTGAGACATGCCTAACGGGACCTAGAAATTCAACAGAGAAATACATCCCACACAGCCTGCAGACATCTCTCAACAGACATGGCTTTAGTGTGCTTCTGGAGACACAGGGCTCCACATGATTTTGACTACAACAGGATGAAATGTGGGATCCCATCCCACACAGTGGGGGTCAGAAAAACACAGCTCAAAACAATACCTACCATAATAGAAAATGACCACATGTGTACCCAGGAGGGAACTGCAGGAACCCTCCCCCCCCCACAAACACTTTCCAAGTCCAGTATCCCCGTGGAAAGAATGACGTGAACTACCACTTGTCAGGGTCAGGGGTACAAGTAAAGAGAGAAGAAGAAGAAGCAACAAGATCGCTCATCTCTTGTGAGGTGAGGCTCAGATACTAGGTAAGACTCATCTATGCCTCAGCAAGAGAAATCAGAAGTCATGCCCACCAGTACCAAGATAACAGGGGCACTAAGAACAGAACAAAGCTGAAGGCTAACAATGGGAGAAAACAAACTACAAATGACCAAGCAGGCTCTTTTGGGAGCAAACACCAAAGAAAGAAAGTCAACCTCCAGAACCCAGTAACATGGACATGAAAGAGTATCTACCCAACAGACAAAGAATTAAAAAAGTCCATAATGAAAATGAGAGAAGAGAAAATGCAGAAAGTGATAATAATATAATCAATGAACCAATGAACTGAGGAAGAATGTCAAAGAACTGGAAGATATCTAGAGACCAGTAGAGGAGAAAAAGAATTCTGGGAAAAGCCATGTAAACAGAATAGAAGAAATGGATGAATGAATCAGTCCTCTCGAAGATACAGACATGAAAGTAACCAAGAAAACAAAAACAAAAACAAAAAAAGGAAAAGGAAGCACAAAGGAAAAAGAATGAAGAAACACCTTGAGAACTACCTGAAACCATGAGAAAAGGAAATATTAGAGTTATAAGAATCCCAGATGGGGAAGAGAGAGACAAAGGAGCCAAGAAAATATTCATGGAGCTAAATGAAGAGAACTACCCAAGCATTTAGAAGGAAATGAAAATAGGAAGCTAGAACACAAAATTACTACAATGAAAGGAAAACTACAGAAAGACACATGATATTAAAGTTTCCAAAGGTCCAAGGAAGAAAAACAATAACGAAACTGACGAGGACAAAGAAACAGATAACCTATAAAGGAAAATCATTCATGCCAACATCAGACTTCTCTGAAGAAGCAGTATAGGCAAGAAGAGAATGGAGTGACATATTTAACAAACTCCAAGTCAACAAATTCCAACCAAGAATACTCTACCCTGTCAAGCTCTACTTCCTCTATGAAGGAAAACCAAAACCCATCAGACAATCAAAACCTCTAGAAGTTCAAGACTAACAACCCCCAACTCCAGTAAATATTACAAGGAACTCGGAAGCCAAAATCAACAGAGAAATAAATAGGAAGAACAGAATAAGGTAAAGAATAAAATCACAAAAAGGTAAACAAGATGACAACTACAGCTGCCAATATAGCAATATTAATTCTAAATATAAATGTTCTAAACTCTTCAGTATAAAGACAGAGTTGCAGGGTGGATCAAAAATTAGAACCCAACCTTTTGCTGTCTACAGGAAACTCATTTAACTACAAAAGATAAATGAGACTGAAAGTAAAAGGATAGATAACAATCCTACAAGTAAATAGACCAAAAAAGAAGGTAAAAATGGCTATACTTAAATCAGATAAAATAGACTTCAAACTAAAAAAGGTAAAAAAAAAAGTCACTACATTATGACTATGAAGACAATATATCAAGAAGACAATACTCACCAACACAAACTCACCAAATGAAAGAATATTGAAATATACCAGACAATTATTACATTCTCTGAAAACAGACACTAAAGGAAACAAACATAGCTTGTTTCAACTTGAACACCACTCTCACCAATGAATAGATCAATGAGACAAAAATAATCCAGAACATCTAAGGACCTATACCTCATGGGGTGACAGTTAACTATAAGAGCACTATATCCCTCAAATATCTGAGTACACATTTTTCTAAAATGCACAGAGATCATTCTCAAGGATTGATGACATACTGCAATGAGCAGACAAAAATCAACAGGTACACTAAAATCAAAATCATATTAACTATCTTTTCTGACCATAAAGGCACCAAACTAAAAATAAACTATGAAAAGAAAGCAAGGAACCCTGCTACCTCATTGAGATTGAAACCCACACTACTGGAGGACCATTGGGCCAATGAGGAGATCAAAGAAGAAACTGAAAAATACCGTGAGATGAACAAGGAGGACACAACCCTCCAAAATGTATGGGACACAGCAAAAGCAGTTCTAAGACAAAAATATATAACAAGCTAACATCAAGAAACAAGAAAGTATGCAAAGAAACAACCTAATCTCCCATTTTAAAGAACTGGAAATGAACACGAAAACCCAAAAGCCAATAGAAGAAAGGAAATAATAAAAACTAAAAAAGAAATAAATGCTATCGAAGATTACTATGAACAGTTATATGCAACATGTGCAACAATATAGACAAGAAAGACAAATTCCTAGAATTAATACAATCATCCAAAGCTAGTTAAGAAAGAAACAGAACACCTAACAGACCAACTGCAAGCAGTGGAATTGAAACAGTAACCAAAATCCTCCCCCCTCCAAAAAAAGCCTGGGCCCAGATGGCTTCACAAATGAATTCTACCAAACTTTCTAAATGAACTATTGGGCCTCCCTGGTGGCTCAAGAGGTTAAAGGGCAGCACTATGAAGCTATCCACAGCCACTACAGCATGAGTTCAAGTCCTGGCCAGGGAAGTAGGCCAAATGGTGTGGCAGACCTCTCCTATCTTGCCCACTGCTCCTCTCAGCAGTATATTTCAGTAGATCTGTCTGTTCTGTTCCCCTCTCTATCTCTGGTGAATCCTCTCACACCCACCACTCCTGCACCTCTGGCCTGTATCCCAGTTCTTGTATGCATAAATAAATCTTTTTTAAAAAATGAACTAGTGCCTATCCTACAAAAACTCTTTCAAAATATAGAGAAAGAAGGAATACTACCAAGTATGTACTATGAAGCCAATGTTACACTACTGGTAAAACCAAACAGACACAAAATGCAAATCACAGGCCAATCTCTCTAATGTACACTGATGCAAAATTTCTCCATAAAATCCTTGCCAAGAGAATCCAACAATGCATCAAAAGGATAGTACATCATGACCAAGTGGGGTTCATTCCAGAGGCACAAGGATGGTTCAACATCTGAATCAATGAATGTAATCCAACACATCAACAAAAAGAGAAAGAAAAACCGTATCATACAATAGATGCTGAAGTCTTGAATTGTAATATTCAACACTGCATCCTGATTAGTGCAATAAAAAAAGAAAGAAAAAGCATACAATTGGAATGACCAATATAAGTAGGGATGAGTCTTCTATAAAAGAAAGTCAAAGTCACCACAAAACAGTACTAAGATAACTGAATTTAGAATGTCGAGGATACAAGATCAATACAAAACAAACAAACAAAACTTCATTTCTACATACTAGCAGTTTACAGAAAATGAAATTTAAAAATAACTCATGTAGTACAAAAAACTGAAACTAGATCACTGCCTCACTCCAGTCACAAAAATATACTCAAAGTGGATTAAAGACTTAGACATAAGAACGGAAACCGTAAAATACCTAGAAGCAAAGATGGGTGAAACACTACACGACATACACTTCAGCGACATCTTTAAAGACAGAGCACC